TCCTTGTACCACGGTGATAGTCCAAGGTAGAACCAATAAAGAAGAACTCGAAAACGGATATGGAATAACACAGATATATTACAAACAGGAATATATACAGAGAAGTAGAAAGTGTTAGTACGAACAATCAGGTTTAGTAGTAATTGTCTGAACGCGACTCTGTTTCGGGCTGCCTCTGACTCGACTGACTCGCTCGCTCTGACTGACTGCCAGACTCCTGACGGACTTCACTCCAGACTTCAGACTGAACAGGTTTCAGGGTCGGTTTACCTCTCCGAAAGAGAATCCGCCCTTCGGCGTAGCCTCTTTCGGGTTTCTCCCCGCCCGAAGGCAGAGAGTTCAACCGATCAGCCGGTCAGCCGGTCGCCCGAGTTCGGATTGAACTCCCTGCTTCCTCTTGAGGCGCAGTATTTATTACGTATGGAATAGTCCATTATGTTATCATGGGTAAGGTCCCATAACAATTTTCTTTAAATTTTCAAGAATATATTTAGATTACTTTCAACACTTTCTCAAATATATCTTTCTTTTTTTTTGATTGAACTGAAATTAACAAAATAAAATAGAATTAAAAAATGAAATCGTTTCACATATTTATATATAAAGACTTGTGTTTCTATGATTCATGTTTGTTATGTTTCTATGTGTTATATTTATGCGTACAGCTGATGAAATGAAATTTACACAGATGTAGACATCAAACTGTCTAGATGGAGACAAATTGTCATATTTTCAATAAACAAAGTGAGCACACCAACAACCATAATTAATCTTTACCTTAGCAATTCTTTATAATTTCTATTCAAAATGAAGTTTTAAGTTTAACAGAAATTATTTTTATATTTTTTAAGAAAACTGCAACTTCTTTAAAAAAAGTTTTTTTTGAAAATCAGATTCGGAGTCCAACATATTTTAAACATACATCATTTTTTTAAGTTTTAAGGAAGCAACTTCATTTTATTACAAAATGCATGAATCTATCTCTTCTTTACTTAACCGATTGGGGAAGAATAGGGCAGACTGAGCTCTCTAGCCTTGGGTGGCTACCAGTCTAGAAGAAGGATAACTCCAAATACAAATCAAGTACTAATATCGGGTAAAGAAACAGATTTGGGTGTGGCTTAGCAACTCCAACATGAAAATATATACCTGCTACTTAAAAGGTGGTTATAAAACCCATTGAACAGCATGGTTGCAACTGAGTTCTCTAAATGCAGACTGTAATGATTGCAGTAGATTAAATTATACTAATTTCTTTCATCTTAATTTCAGTTGGCTTCTATTGCAACTTTAGATTGCCATTAAAAAGTAAACAGTACAGATTGAAAAAGTTTTCAATTTATTTTAATTCATTTCAAAACTTTTGACGCATTGTAAAGATCTTTATATTTTAAAATATTTTTCAACCCAAGCAAGGCAATAAAGCCACTAGGACGCAGCAGGTTACAGAATGGGAAAGAATAAGAAAAAAGAAAACATTATTGAAGATTGAGAATAATAAACGAACAGGAATCAAGAAGACAGAAGATAACGATTGACAATTGCATTTATATTTTGGAAGATCAAACTTGATTGGAAAGATAGAAGCCAAAAGAGAGTTCAATGAGTGCGAAGTGTAAGAAAAGAAGCTGTTAGAATAGAACTTACAGTTACATCTAACCATGTCAACTGTAAAATGATGAGACCTAACTGCCAATCTTGTACTGCTCTTAAATTCATAAGGTCTAGGTAACATAAAGGAAAATTAATCTGAACAATTATCATGAAAGCATTTATAGAAAAGGCACAGAGAAACTACATTATGATGGTGCAAAAGTGACTGAAGCCGGGATGCCAGGTTAGGACTACCAACATTGCAGATTCTTCTTTGGATTTTGTTAAGGATCTCTAATTATAAAGCAAGAGTACTAGACCATATGTGACAGCAATATTGAAGGCACAGACGAATGGTAGACTTATAAATGTGTAAGATAAATTCTAGCAAGGAAAATTGTCTAGCCTGACACAGTGAACCAACTTTCCCAGCAACAAACCTAGCAATTGATTCAGTCTTTCAACTTCCTGTCAGTGGAAAACACTAGCTTGAGAAGGCACCATGAGGCCCTCTCCTGCTGATGGAAAGAAGAAAGGATTATCTCAGATGATTAACAGAGAGTAGTTTTATTCTGAAGGCATTAAAATTAAGAAGCCATCCCTTGCCCCAGTTAACAATAGATTGTTGGCCATTTTTAAGATCAGCTGCCAATTTGACCATATCAAACTGATCAGATTTATTATTACTATTGAAATACAAGTTTAAAAGTGATAAATGTAGTTTAGTGCTTTATCTGGTAATAATTGCACGTAATCTCACTATTTATACTATTAACTAAATAAAACAAAGTTAATGCAAAAGAATACTAGTAAAATTAATACAAGTTAACAATATGTCATCTAATAAATTGATTGATTTTTTTAATAGCTACAAGACTTTTTAAGGCATTATTGAGATAATATTGATTTTTTGATACAAGTTATATTTAATCCATAGGTAGGTGGTAAGTGAGTTTATAGCTTTCCTGAGGATATTTATATGTATGTGAATATAATGAATCTGACTGGAATTGGAACTCATCTCTCTGATTAACAGTTCTGAGTCATTATAAATTATACCAACCAAATATTCAAGTGTGTAGCACCTGGTATTTCCAAGTGGCCACCCATTGAGGAACTGACCAAGATCAATGTTGCTTAATTTCGGTTACAAGACCTGGTGTTTATAAAATTCAAAATGACATTACAGTAGAATCCCTCATATCCGGAATCCCTCATATCTGGGCATGATTTTGATGTATATATGTGAACTGTTTGAATGATATGTAACTGATTTGAAATTTCTGTTTTTCAGGAAATTCACTTTGGATAATTGCTTTTGCTTATTTCCCCCAAATGGCTTGTATTGGCGCAAAAGTAGATGGGAATAAGAGGAAAGGATGACAATGAGACACATCTGCAACAAGATAGTGATGAGATGCATGATTCCAATGAAACCTGGACTGAAATTGAAAAAGCTATTGAAAAGGTTGTCAGTTTTATGGAAAGGAAGCCAGCATTCATCTATGATAATGCATGCAGAATTCAAAAGTCTCTTTTGTTTTAAAAAAAATTCAAGAACAAAAGCAAAATTAAATGTGAAAAAAGTTGAAAATTACATTAGAAGAGAAAGAATCATCATGCAACTGCAATTAAAAAATCCTCGTTACATTATTTGTTTTGCATACGGGGCAGACTTAATTGAATGAATTTTCATTAACATTACATAATTTATTTCTTTTCCCTTGTAGTCCTACCTAGGATTAAACTCACCATCCTTGGCGAACAAATTTATGAAGATATTAGACTCCCGCTCCTCAGCTTAATGGATGTATTCTAAGCAGTGGCAGTAACAGGCTTGTCTCCCTTCCTATCAAAGTGGATTTAACCTTGAGACATTAAGTTTATTGAAATTTCTCCTCAGTGAATATTTTTTCTGTTGAAGTGCTGTCATTTAGATATTGAGCAAGATCCAGTTTTAACAATTAGTGTTAATGTAGAGCAAGTGAAAATACAATGAAAGAAATACCTGTTAAAAATTGATAATGGTTGACAATGTTTCATCTGTTAATAAAATCCAAGATAACTAACATTATAAAATTACTTGGCAAAAATGAATCATGGTTGATGGTACTTTATCTACTGATAAAATTCAAGCAGCTATTCCTGATGATGTAATAAGAAATAACTAAAATTATGATGAAATAAATACTAGTAAAATATTAATTATATTTGATAATACTTTATCGACTAAAAGGACTGCTGTCATTTAACCACCACATAGAAACTTCCCTGATCCCCATCAGCATGGTTGATGCTTGACTCTGTGAGAGCGTATCACTGTGCCTTCTTGGTCTCATGTTTTCAACTGACTGAGGTGGAACAACTACATTGAATCAATAGCTTCATCTACTGCAAGGAAAGTTGGTTTACTGTGTCGGGTCAAAAGATTTTGCTCATCAAAGTCCATCATACACCATTCATTCGTGTATTGAATACTGTTGCCATATCTAGTCTGATGTCCCTGTGTTCATCTCGGGGTTCTCAACAAAATCCAAAAAAAGGATCTGCAGTGTAATCGGCCCTGACTTGGCATCTCGGCTGCAGTCACTTTCTCATAGACGTAATGTGGCTTCCCTCTGGCTTTTCTACGAATGTTTTCATGGTAACTGCTCTGACAAGCTTTTTTTTTTTTTGGTGCCCTGACTACATGAATTTAAGCATGCTAACAGATTGGCATCTATGTCCCACCCTTTTACTGTTGAAATACTACTTCTACTCCAACAGTTTTTTTGTTGCACTTCCTGACAGTGAAACTCCCTTCCTCTTACTTGCTTCCTTGATAACTACAATCTTCAAAAATGTAAATGCATCATCAATCGCCATCTTCTGTGGCCTTGATCCCCATTCATCTTTTATTTTTTATTCAATCCCTCTATACACTCTTTTCTCTCACTTTCACTGTTTGTAACCATCCCCCTGTGTCCTAATGGTACATCTACCTTGCTTGGGGTGAAATGATTTAAAAAAAAATAATATTAGTTCTAATGTAATAAAAAGTCAGTGAAATCAAGATGAAAGAAATAGTAGGAAGAAAATTAATCATGGCTGACACTTTTTCACTCAAGATAACAAACATTGAAGTCTTTCAGTTCAACAAAGATGATAAAAGTTGTAAGCATTCAAAAAATTCTTTAACCTTTATTTTCCAGCATGACTTGCTTGATTGAATGATTGATGAATGGATGTTAATAGACATCACCAGTAATCCAAACCTGGATTTTCAATTGAGAGAACCTCCCATAAAAAGAAGACAAGATGGAGCTTGCCAGTTTAGTTTTGTTTGATGATATTAGATGTGATAACAAGAAATTCTTTCTTATCACCTGAGTATCCAATATTCAAAAGTCTTCTTTTGTCAATGTTTGATGAATAATATTCCCTTTCCTCATCTTTGTTCACTCATCTTCTTTGTGATTGGAGCCTGCAAGTCGGTTAACTTTTCTTTTATTTTATGATAGCAATAAAACCTTTTTATTCTACAGCTGTGAAGATTTGGTTATTTGATATTTAGATAAACAATCAAGAGACACAGATATTTTCTTCCATTGGGGTGGTAACATTCTTTGTTACAAGCAAAAGAGAAATTTTATTGCTAATGTTTCATAGTAGAAAATGGCTTTCGAAATAAAATTAAATTTAAATAATGATTCAATGCGAGTTTCTCAGCTAAAAACCATCAAAGAAAATAATTATTTCATTTTGAAAGCAATTTTCTACTACAAAAGATGAGCAATAAAATTGTTCTTGTGCTTGTAACAGATCCAAAACTTATAGTTTGAAATTACCAAAAAATATTCTACCTATGTTATTTATAATAAACTCAAACCTCGGTAAGACAGACCTCCCTTTAATAGATATCAGAAGCAACAAACAAAATCTAATGCAGCCAACACTACCTATCTGTCTATCTTCTACTGTTCATTATCTATCTATCTATCTATCTAGTACTGTTCAGTATCTATCTATCTATCTATCTATCTATCTATCTATCTAGTACTGTTCATTATCTATCTATCTATCTATCTAGTACTGTTCAGTATCTATCTATCTATCTATCTATCTATCTATCTAGTACTGTTCAGTATCTATCTATCTATCTAGTACTGTTCAGTATCTATCTATCTATCTATCTATCTAGTACTGTTCAGTATCTATCTATTTATCTATCTATCTATCTATCTATCTATCTAGTACTGTTCAGTATCTATCTATCTATCTATCTATCTATCTATCTAGTACTGTTCAGTATCTATCTATCTATCTATCTATCTAGTACTGTTCAGTATCTATCTATCTAGTACTGTTCAGTATCTATCTATCTAGTACTGTTCAGTATCTATCTATCTATCTATCTATCTATCTATCTATCTATCTATCTATCTAGTACTGTTCAGTATCTATCTATCTAGCACTGTTCAGTATCTATCTATCTATCTGTCTAGTAATGTTCAGTATGTATCTATCTATCCACCTTGTACTGTTCACTATCTATCTATCTATTTAGTACTGTTCATTATCTATCTATCTATCTCTCTATCTATCTAGTACTATTCATTATCTATCTCTCTATCTATCTAGTACTATTCATTATCTATCTCTCTATCTATCTAGTACTATTCATTATCTATCTATCTATCTAGTACTATTCATTATCTATCTATCTATCTCTCTATCTATCTATCTAGTACTGTTCATTATCTATCTATCTACCTTGTACTGTTCCCTATCTATCTATCTATCTATCTATCTATCTATCTATCTATCTTGTACTGTTCCCTATCTATCTATCTATCTATCTATCTATCTTGTACTGTTCCCTATCTATCTATCTATCTATCTAGCACTGTTCAGTATCTATCTATCTGTCTAGTAATGTTCAGTATGTATCTATCTATCCACCTTGTACTGTTCACTATCTATCTATCTATCTAGTACTGTTCATTATCTATCTATCTATCTATCTACCTTGTACTGTTCACTATCTATCTATCTTGGCCTGTTCATGTATATTTATTTGAATTTCTGTCTATTTATCTATTATTATCTGTTCATATTTCTATCTATTTAACTCATGTTTTTTCTGTTTTATATCTATCTATCTTTATATTTCATATTTAGCAAGCTATTTCAATCTGCTCATATCTATCTTTTTCAGTTTTTTCATTTATCTATCATTATATCAATCTGAATCTCTTCATCTACCGATGCTCCATCCACTCCACTTAAGCAGTGACTGTTTTAATCTTATCTCACCTTTCTACATCAAAGAAATAAAATCAAACAAGTGAGCCAACAAATTCACATATGAAAATAAGAAATAATTTCTATTCTTGAAGGGAAAAGAAATCTCTATTTTTAATTGTGTGATCCATTCATGTTTACGATTTATAAAAGAAAATACATCATCGTCGTCATCATCATCATCATCGTCATCATCATCATCATCGTCATCATCATCATCATCGTCATCATTGGTGTTTTTATTTTGTTCACCTTGTCTCATCCTTGTGTCAATTTGGACCGAATTGGAAGGAAATCTGAATGTTTGAGAACTGAAAAAGTAGCAGAGTATGACCCAAAGCTGTAGGATGTGACCCTTGGGGAAAAATAGTATAAGAACAATGATAATAATAATAATAATAATAATAATAATAATAATAATAATAAAATGAGATTTTGTTTATCTTGTTTGGTGGGAAGCTAAGATTGGAAAGGAAAGAGTTTCTGGTCATGAACAAGGAAAATGGGAGAAAAAAAAATGAATTGTAACTTATGAATTATTTCCCACCTGGATACATATACACAGTGTGTTTGTGCCCACACCAACACACACACACACATAAGTCAGACACAAACACACGCACAAATATATAAGCTTTTCTTCTCTTATACACATTTTCTTTCATGCATATGTATACTCCCAGACATGTACACTATCTATCTATCTATCTATCTATCTTAAACTATTTGTATATGTCTATCTATCTAGGACTGGTCATTATCTATCTATCTATCTTAAACTATTTGTATATGTCTATATATCTAGGACTGGTCATATCTATCTTACACATTCTCTCTCATATATGTACACATCTACACTCTTCTCCAACCCCACATATGGATGCTTTTTTCTCTCTTAAACATATACTTTCTCTCTCTCTCTCTCTCTCTCTCTCTCTCTCTCTCTCTCTCTCTCTCATGCACAGTATGTATCACACATATACACACTCCCTCTCTTCTTCATACATACTCATATGTATATATGTGCCACTTTTGCATACACACTTTTTGTCTCTCCCTTTCGCACTTACACACACTTCCTCTCACATAAATACTTTCACTATGTTTTACACATATTCTCTTTCACACACAGGCAAATATATGAACATATATACAGTACAAATTAGCCACAACCATCCACTTACACATGTATGCACACGCTCTCACTCCTTTTCAGACACATACTTACACGTATCCTCTCACTCTCATATACACACTCTCCATCTCTTGCCCAAATACGCAGATTCTATCTCTCAGATACACACTGGCACACACATACGGATGTTTTGAATGGCACCAATATCTAAACTGTCAGTGGTGTAAAAACTGCTTTCTAAGATCAATGATTAAAAATTGCTTTGAATGAGTGCAGCCTGTCGATCTTAACAAAGACAGCCCTTCTTTTGATATTGCAGACTGGCTTTACATATCCTCACCTAAACCACTCTGCACTTCATCCGACAGCAAGGTCTTTGATCAGGAGGTTTTGAGGAGCATGGAACCACATCTTAATTACTGGTGTCCCATGGTCCACCTTGACCTGGGGTGGTAGCATCTGTCAAGGTCCCAGTTATAGGCAAATAGTTAACACCCCAAAAGTGGTGAAAACCCTATGAAACTATAAAAATAGGTTTTAATATCAGTGATACTTTTTTGGAAAAATTATTACCAGCAGTACATTTTTGAAAAGGAAAAATATTATCAGTAATACATTTTTGAAAAATTATTACCAACAATATATTTTTGGAAAAAAAAACATTATCTGCAATAAAAATCTTGTTGGCATTATATAACCCATTTGGTTTGGTATGCCATAAAACAAAACAAACCAAACCAAACTTAAACCACAACTGCCATATCTTCTATTTACATGTTATTGCTAACAGTCAAAGGAGAGACTTTGAACTTTCCTTTTATTAATTCCAGCTGTAATATAAAACTAAAAACAGATTCTTACTATCCCTTCATATTAACAAGTAGACTATCATAAAAAGAGATAAGTAGTTACTATCAATACCTTGAAAATTTTATATTTATCATTCAATTAATGCACTAAGAAAATTTCTACAATATTACTATATATACTTGTGTATCATGCAACTTTTGAAGACCAAATTTTGAAGCTAATTTTAAGAGGGTCGCATCATACATGGAATGTAAAATGATTGCATGTATTGGTGGCCCTGGCTACACTGTTGACAGAACTATATATCTATTTACTGTACTCACAAAGTACAGCTGTATTTAAAATAAACATAATTTTGATAAAATTGATGTTTTCCATCCTGGGTATAATGATAAACTACGTCTGCCATCTGTGTAAAACGATAAGCAAGGCCTCTGATCAGGAGGTTTTGAGGAGCGTGGAACCACCTCTTAATTGCTGACCCAAGGTGGTAGCACCTATTAGGGTCCCAGCTATGGGCAAATAGTTGACCCCCACAACCTGACTCAAATTCAAAACACTATGAAGGTGTAAAAATAGATTTTAATACCAGAAATACTTTAAAAAAAAATTAGTATCAGCAATAAATATTTGAAAAAAGAAAATATTACCAGAAATAAAAATCTTATCAGAATTAAATAACCCAATGAGGTTAATATGCCACAAAAAAAACAAACAAACCAAACTATACATTTTTTGAAAAAAATATTACTAGCTATACATTTCTGAAAAAATTACCAGCTATACATTTTTGAAAACAAAAGGAAATTTTGTCGGCATTAAATAACCCATTGTGGTTGATATGCTGTAAAACAAAACAAATCAAACTGAACCAAACTGATGTTTTATTTAACTGTATCCAATAATAATGCATGTAATATTCATATATTAGTACTGTATTATAGAATACAAACATAGTGAATATGCATCTTTTTCCATTGTTTACATTTATAAGATGTTTAGCTGTTTCTCGTTTGGTTGTTTATGGCTGTATGCATTTATACAACAAGTATAGTTTTACTAGCAATACTTTTATCATTCCCTTTTTTCTTTTTTAACGTATTTAAATAGAAGATGGGATAAAGAGGAAGAGAGGAAAAAAGAGTTAGACAATTGTAATTTTGGTAACTCAAAAACGAACTCACCTAATAAATGAAATGCATGATAAAATCATTTTTATAAGTGAAAATTTTAGGGATCACATGATATTTGTCTATATTTCTGAGATGAGGTATTAGGTACATTATTTACATTATTCAGACTATTATCCTCATCTTTGTCGCCATATTTATTAAAACATTTTGGCCGTTGTACACTCCGGCCTTCTTCAGGTGGTGTTGATATTAATGTCCCTTATATGGTGTTCATATTTAGTGTCTCATATGGTGGTGATATTAATGTCCCTTATATGGTGTTCATATTTAGTGTCTCATATGGTG